TTTTTTTTTGTTTTTTTTTTTGCCAAATATTCTGGTGTTGCCTTAACGCCGATCTTGTTGGATGTACACGTAACCGAGTGGACGAAGTCCGCCTTAATTGGATTGAGTGGAGGCTCAGGGCTGCCTTTCGTTTGTTTTAGCCAGACGCCAGGTTTTAGGCTGCCACCAGAGGCGGGGCATAGGCACTAAAGCAACAAGACAATAGAAGCCTACATCTTGCCCAAGATAATTAGCTTACATGCTGATGACAAGGTAAACACCTTTAAGTTTTACTTGTCAGGATTTTTTTTTTTATGTCTTTAAAAAAAGAGAGAGAGCGGGAGAGAGAGGGAAAGAGAGAGAGAGACCCCGTCAGCACAACTCATTTTATTTTTCTCGGGGGTGGCAATATCGTGGACGGGAAATGGAAGGCAAGGCGAAAAGACCCCCATTTGACTGGGTGAAAGGATTTAAAATCAGCTCCCGGGTGGCAAGGCTGTCAGCCCAGCCTTTGTGAGAGCTGAGGAGACGGGGCTGAACGCCGGTGAGCAAAAGGACCGAGTCCCCCTCTCCCCCCACTAAGTTTGGTCTGGAAGGAACCCCGCCGCCGGGAGGGCAGCTCTCCGGAGGGCAGACGTTTCGCCCTGGGCCACCGCTCCCAGCGCTCCGCTCTCCCCGCACCGGCTTGTCAGGTACCCCGGCCGGCTGGTGGCTGAGCAGCACTTGGGATTTAGCATCTCGGGAACCTTCTCTATGACTGAGAAGACCCCCAGTGCGAGACCCCCAGTGCGAGGATCGTTTCTCTCCCTAAACCCCTAAGTTCCGTTCACCTAGGGCTTTTTTTTTTTTCTCTTTAACCTAAGGGAGAGATGGAAGATGCAAGTTTGCAAAAACAAGCAGTAATTTAATTGCCTGGGGCGAGAGACTGCTGAAAAATAGGTTAGCACAAAATGTCGCTCGTTATTCTCAAAGGCAAAGACTGTCACAGGCACCCGTGGTCCCTCTGAACCTGAAGCTGCTTTCTAAGGTTATTTATACAGCACGGGAGCTGGATGGAGAAGACCTCTCAGGTCATCTGCTACACCACCTTGCCAATGAATTCCCTGCAGTTTCGAATAAACTGCAATTTCTGGCACTTTTGGATCTGTTCTCGGATCCGGTGTGAAAACAAAAGCGACCCCATTCACAGCCACACACACATACATGCAGCCAGCAGCTAATGTCACTCGGGTCTTTGAAGAAATCTCCCAAGTTGTCCAGTGTCTCCACAGCTTATATTTCAGGGTGTTCCCGGGCAGAGGAGAGAAGCCTCCCCTGAGTGTTTCATACCCCGGCCTATGGCCCTGGCAAACCCAATTTAATACAGCGATTACCTGAATATTAAGAAAATTACAGCGAAGGTACAGTTAACCCAGTGACTTTTAAGTGTCAAGTAACTATTTAGTAATTGCACTTGTAAATATGTTTGTGCTGGGCTGGTTCGTGCTTAAAAATGCAAAAGTGCACTTGCTACCCGGGAATAACTAAATATCTTTGTCTAAAGTGGCAGCATAAATAGCCGGTCGCTTTGTGACTGTGCTTGATATTAGTACATAAGGATCATTTTGCTTCAATTGGGAGGCTCTCATTCACTAGGCAAGAAACCGTTTAGGAGAAAGTAGGTTCCCGTATGAGAGTTAACATCCTTCAAGTGTAAGCCTCAGCCTTGATTACACTTTAGAGCTCTGCAAGAGGTGAGCTTTTCCACACAAATATAATCGGGGGAACTTTCCTTCAATCAGGCCTCCAGCTCTCCTACATCATCTCAGCTGCCTCTCTCGGCACCAGCTCCCTCAAGGTTGAATTCCCCGAAGTGGGCTTGTTGTGAGTCTGCTGGGTCACCAAAGGCAGGGAAGGGCGACTTTGGGCTAGAAAGACGGCTGCTTTTACCTCTTTTCTTTCCAGATCTTTAGATCTTGTCTTTCCAGATCCCTGGAACATTTTTGTTTTGTTCCTACCACTCGACCTTGCCTTGGTGGTTTGGGTTTTTTCCCCCCCCCCCCCCTTCTGCGCGTGTTTTTCAGTACGGCCTTTAGTTTTGTTCCTACAGACTACAGAGACCTTGCCTTGGTGGTTTGGGTTTTTTCCCCCCCGGATTTCTCAGGCACATCAGCTCCCAGTCTGTTTTATTAGCCTTAAAAAGGAAGGGGTGGATGGAGGAGAAAAAATTAAATACCATAGGATCGACCAAAATGACGCTGCGGTCGGCTC